TCTGGTTGTGCTGGGCCAGGTCTTTTGGAAATTTCCACTTTACTACACGATGTTATAGAGATTCCCACTTTCCCTCCCCTGCCCACACTTTTTGGGATTTCCATTTTACCGCCCGCCTCTATGGGATTCCCATCTTACCGCCCACTGGACGGATAAATGTGACATTCCAACGCTTCGACCGTGGTCGAAAACCAAACTTTCGGTACAGGTATGACAAAAATTTTATACCCAGGGAGTCATCTTTCTTTTATCTTTCGATTACCGTTTACTCTTGTGTTTATCATTTTGATTTCTTTTTGTATATGGTAGCAGTTACGAGTGTAGCGAGAACTTTGAATGACTGATGAAATTATATTTTAGGATGAAAGTAATTCAACAGCGGACTATCCTATAAGTAAAGGAGCAGGTTTTGGAATTTCTCAAGATTTTTGTGGAAGATTGAATGCTCTGCAAACTCTTTCAACGCCTATAATAATACACAAAAACATAATGATAGGTTTATATTGAAATAATAGTCTTGAAAGATTCTTCTGATCTCGTCAAACATTTCCGTTCTCTCTTAAAGTAACAATTATGTACCGTCACCATAATAACACACCTTCACGAAAACAAATAAATTGATCTTGTGTCATCGTTATTGATATACATAAGTTATTTTGAGTATTATAATTTTTATTTAAAGTAAGACTTTTAAGTTTATTATTAGTGCTTTTTCATATGCAAAAATTTACATTCAAATAGTCGTCAACATTTAACACAAAAGATTTTAATTGATTTTTATTTGTTACGTAATATAATATACTGTATAAAACGGTTAAAAGAGAATTAACATGGTTTATTTGATAAAAGAAATAAAAAACCAGTGTTGAGCATTATCTAGATGCTTTATCTAGATAAAACATTAATCTTTTTATCTTATCTAGATAATTATAATTTGAAGTATCTTTTTATCCATCTTTTTAAATAAAATGATTATTTAAGATAAATTATCTAGATAATTTTGAAAAAGATAATTTTTTTTTTTTTTTTGTGGGAAATGAAACTTGGAATAATTAACTCTAAGTATTACCGTATTACTCGTATACCTTTTAAATTTTAAATATACACATTTTATAAACGAAGAAAAGGTACTGTATGATTATTTACACAGAAAACATATAAATAAACGTAATTCAAATAATACCATTCAATTTTATATCGATTAACTTTTTTTTCTGTATAATCGACGACTGGGCGATACCCGCTGCCCAATGCTTATGCCCGGAATTTAATAAACGTATACCTAGTAGCTAATATTATACTCATATAATTATATAATAAATATGACGATTTAAAAAAATTTTTTAATATTTAATTTACAATTTATTCAAGATCACTTAAATAAAAATTATTGTTTTTATATTATTGTGTATATATTTATTTTTATAGAACTTAAATCAAAATGTAGATTTGGTTTATTATTTAGGTTTATGGTTATTTTATAGTTTTGTGTAAGAAATGGGTAGACAACCTGTTTATTGTTATAGATAGGTATACATGAGACTCATTTCTATTGGTATTTATATTAAGTGAGCCCTAATTATATTCAGTTTCCCGGTAGGGAAAATGAACCCAGTACACGCCTAATTACAGCTTAAAGTAATTATACTTCCACTAACATCATGATTATGGACCGAATTTAAATCCCCAATTAACCATCAAAAAATGCTCTGAATAATTGCTAAAAATAACCCTAAAAAGAATTAAAATTTTTTGTTGTGAAAACTCTTATATGGCGTTCAGATTTTTCCGCTTGATCAATGAAAATTTTCGAGTGTCACATTTTTCATTTTTCGCGTGCAATACTAAATTTATAATTTACAAAAAATACTAAACTTTTATTAAAAAAAAAAAAAAAAACTAACTAAAATTTGAAAAATTGACTTGGCGCTAACTAAATATTAAGAAAACAAATAAATGCACTATTTTTTGAATAATAAAAAAATTATTTAAATTTAAATTATCAAACCGTTACCATTAAAATGCTCAAATATGGATTAAAATTAATAGAATGACTGAAAAATGTTCTAAAAATGAAAAAAAAAACGAAAAATGCGATAAAAAAAATGTATTCCTTTAATATTGTTATTACATAAAACGATATATGTACTTGAGAAGCATTGTCTAAGATGAGCCAACAAAATAATGCACTTGGCATTGAAATCCATGCCCAATTTAAGACAAACAAGATCTTAAGAATAAAAACCAAAAATACTACACTGCCTACACGATTTTTACATCAGTGGAATTAAATACAATTCCATTATCTGTGTTTCGGAAACAAACATAACTCGTCGCAAATCTAAAACATGATTTTTAACGAATGGCATTATACAATAATATTGTATGTATAGAATAAAAAGGCAAACCGTTTTTTTGTATTTTATTGTGCAAAGGGAAAGAAACGCATGTCAATACCAGCCCTTAAATGCGAATCGTGTAAACGCTAACAGAGTCTATAATAACGACAAAGAGTTATCCAATTATATTTCTTAAATAACGAAAAGGTCGTAGATAGTATGTGGCCTAAATGAACCGTACCGGAGGAAAACAGCATAGCCTGAGGAAAGAAAAAAAGAAAGAAAAAGCAAAATTCAAATATAACGACGATGTTCAATATATTATAATCTAATATAATATACATATAATATAATATAAGCAGTGACGTAGCTGAGGAAAGGGGCCATGGGTAAATCGCGTCTCCCTTGGAATTTTTTATTGGTGATATTTCAATCACGGTTAAAACTTGTCGTCTGTAGCTAATAAAATAATATAGTATTAATACCCATTACATTTTTACACTAATACATGTATACAATTATGGTATAACTATGTATATGCTCAAGGACAAATTAAGCACCTATTGAGCCCCAGGACTGAAATTTTATATGGGCCCTTCTGACAAAACATACTTAACAAAGCTGCTCGCTACGCTTGCAGAACAATACATTTTTTAACTATTTCACAAATTATCAATTGCATTATAAAATACAAAATTAATACACATATAAAATTTATGTCTATAAAACTACTAATTTTAGTATGATAAAATACGTGTATCAGCTTAAAATTGTTTGGGCCTCTTTCACTTGGGTACTCGAGAGGGCTCCGTCTAGACCCCCCTCCCTTAATCCGGCCTTGTATATGCTATACACTAAGTCGAATAGATGTGGCGGTTAGTCATATTTTATTCACTTTCGATTGAAGAAAATTCAGTCTTGTCGCTCAGTGCAGCCGACATATCGATCCAAGCGAATTGCGATAAATAAACGAAGAGACACGGCCTGCAGCAGTTCTAGTGATATAATAATAATTAAAAAAATGGTATTTTAACAACATTCTACGATTTTTTATATGTTTTCATATATTATATAAATATTATCTGACAGTGACGTATTCAAAGGTGGATAGAGGGTTATAACCCTCCCTCGGAAATTTTTTATTTAACCAACTTCGTGCGGAACAGTACCCTGTGGCCGGGATAAAATGATTCTTAAAAAACCGCATCGCGTTAAACTTCATTTGGAGTTGTATGTATCTTAGTCATTTCAGTCTTGGATAAGTTAACGAGTGTATGCTTAAAGAAAATTATAATTATTCATTTTGTCTATGGCAGATATTATTAGCTACTAATAGTATTATAAAAATAATACTGGTCAAAATCAAACTGATTGTTGTATGGTTGTTGTACGGTCACGGGCGCAATTTGGGGTGGTTGGGTATGCTTAGTACCCCTATTTTTGAAATTAGCACGCCCATATGTGTTCATATTACATTTAAATACTCATTATTCTTTATATATAGAAAAATAGTTATTATTATAAAAATATATAAATTTTTTATTTAAATAATGGTGGTGGAAGTTCGTCCTAGGTCTTTTTGGTCCTCGAACTGAATAATAGTAATAGGTAGGGTTGCCAGTTTTTTAAATTCCTAAACCTAAACCATCATATTGAATGATTCTTTTTTTATTTTGATACAAAAACAAAATAAATATATGATTTTGTAATTTAAATATTTATTGGCTAATACAAAAATACATTATTATTGTACATAACCATACCAATTAGATTACCATAATATGATAATATAATGTAGAATATCATTCTATGTTTTATTATTGAATAATATAATATTAAATGTTATTATTTCTCAGCTTCTATTAACCAAAATAAATTGAATGATCTGCCGAGACACTGGGACAAGTGGCAAGCTTAGTAGTAAATATACTGAGTTTTAAAGAAATGATGAGGTAATTTCTTTATCAAAATGGTTCTGAGCAAAGGTTCAGTATAAATATCAACCATTTATAAGTATATTTTCCATTTTTAATCAGTAGGTTCTTTTTTTTTGTCAACCTGTTTAACATTTTATTTTTTACCAATTTTATTTTTTTTTTTTTAACCAAATATTTATCTGTATTCAAAGTTTCATTATGATTGAATGGACAAACATTTTTTTAATAAACATTTAATGTTAAAAATGTATGTAAAAACAATAAAATCTATAAAAATAGTAGGTATAATATCTTACTTTAAACACTTATGAAATGAGTAAGGCGATATTACATTTTCACTTAATATCTAAAAATAAAATACAATAAAACAATTATTTGTGAAATGAGTTATTGTAAGCTTCTAGTGTTGCCATATGGCAACAGCTTTTGTCTCAAAAACCAATGCTAAAAATTTTTGTTTTTTTTCACATATACTTTTGAAATTAAATATACATATGTATGTTTTAAATATTTTTATTTATTAATTGCAATAAGTATTAAATACCTAATATATTTTTATAAATCAAAGAAAACACATTTTAAACTGGGTTTTAATTCACCTTTTTTTTTTATTTAATTAGAAACATAAATATAAACATATTAAAACAATAAATATATATACATAGGTTCATATCCTAATCATGTCATGTAAATTGGTTATATAATTGGTATATAATATTTTAAATTATTCTATGTAAAATAATAGTATAATAGTTAAGTACATAACTGAAATATTGATAAATACATAAATATTATGCACACATAAGCTCATAGTTAATATGCTGGATTTTGTGTATAACAAGTTTAAATACTTATTTAAACATTATGATAATTAACCATAACATGGCCCTTTAAATCGCAACAAAAAAAATGGTATTATTAATTCATAGTATAATATTAACAAATAATTGCTAATTCACACGAAATTTAAATCGATAGAAAATTTGAATACATTTCAGCTTAACAATAATTGACAATCAAGTGACAAATAACAATCTTAACAGTAATTATTAGATAAAATGTATCTTTTTATTATATTTCAATACAAAATGAATTATTCAAATAATATATAAATATATATTGTTCTAACTGGATTTAGGCCTCAGTAATTTCTTAGATGAATGTCCTAAAGTCATAAACTTCTTTAAAGTACCCTTGCTGTGTGAGGTATTTGAAGGGGATTGAGATGGTGATGAATCATCAGGCTTGTCTTTTTTTGATTTTACCTTTTTGATATTCTTCAACAGTCTTTTAGAGAAGGTTTTTTTGCCATTCACTATCGATATATCTACTGACTTAATGCATGGCAACGTTTCATCTGAAATAATTAATAATAAATAATTAATTAAATAATAATAAATAATAAATAATAATCAATTATAAATTATTTTTTTATCTATAAAATCAGTATAATTTTAACTATAAATTTTAGTTGTACTATTAATAACAGATAAAATACTAAGGTCACATATCAATAATTACAATTTATAAGCATGTGATAGGAAGTAGTATATTAATGTGTTTTAATAAGCACTTTTAATAAAAATTACCTACTCATGTTAAAAAGTAATATATTTTTCCCATTCTTAATAAATACAATTATAATTTATATTGCCACTCAGAATTTACTAAAATACTTAAATTTATGGTAAGTCATAACACATAAATAAACAATAAATAAAGTAGTTTGAACAAAAAGAAAAAAAAAATCATAAATAATTTTATTTTGATATGCAAAAACAAAAATACATCAAATTAAAAATTAGAACTGTGTGAAGTGTGTTGGTTGAGAATAAATTATTCTAAATTTTTTTAATAATTGGTTTGATAAAATAGTATAAATGTTGGTTGTTAACATTTTGACAACAAGACTTATTTACAATAAATATAGATATTTAAACTTTTTTTTAAACATACATTTGAGCAAGCCAATTTAATATATAATATTATGTTATGTAAACTTGACTTTGATTAAAAGAAGGATGCCACACCCACATGTGTTGTCTCTGTCTAGCTTTGAAGTAATATAATTTTTTTTTATATTAATTCTTATTATTTTGTTGAATTAATCAGTTTTAACAATATTTTAGTTTTTAAACGAGTTATGAGTTCTTGTATTGTAATACTTCACTTACTCATAACTCGTTCAAAAATGTATTAATCCTAAAAAAAACAACCCAACAAATAAAGATTATGTTCTCACATTTGTTTAATAATAATTCAGTTTACTATAATATTGAAGCTAACAAAATAACAAATATACTACTAAACACAGTTTCTTTGTTTGTAAGACTAAGACAATACATTCAGGTAAAGCGTCTTCTAAAGATAAAAATGATAAAAGCACTATTCAAATTCAATTTTGATTTTCATACAGCACACATTAATTTAAAAAATAATAATTGTCTTGATATATTTATCATAAAATTTTTAAATACTTGAAAAATAATTAAATCTAAATGCAATTATAAAAATATGCAAGAATAATATAAATTAAGCTGAACAAATAAATTACATATAAACCACACCACATTAATATTCAAGCTTAAAAAACTGTTGTCATACACATGCAATCACCTTAAAAACAAACAAAACATCATTCAGCAAATCATTAATGGTGACCCAACATATTTTATACTAGTAAACTATACGATGGATATTTTTTGAACCTTGAGCAAAAGTTCCAATTTGATTGAAGACACTACGATCTTCTTCAGCTTCACGCAATCTATCTTTTTCTAGGTTTTCAACAATTTCATTACGCCTTTCCACAACTTCAACCAATCTATTGATATTGAATAAATAATATATTTTAACAAATTTGTTATAATATGCTAACATACATTACTAATACCAACCTTTGAATAAGTTCTTCTTCTCGTGCTTTTTCGGTATCAGTTTTTGTGTGTTCTGGTCGAGCCATTAATACACGTATTTGGTATTCTAGTTCAGCATGCTCTTCTTCTAAATTATGTTGCCTTCGTCTAAAAATATTAATTTTAGTTTATCAAATTACCTAGGATTTTTTATAATATAAAATACTTACAAATACATAAGTTCAGCGTGTTTTCTAAACAATTCATTTTTTTCATTAACTAATTCAAACAATTGCAACACCATTTCTTCAACATCAACATTGTTCAAATCTAAAACACAATTATATGGTTACACAATAACCACATATCTATGATTTTACAACATACCTTCATTACACTTTAACCGTATATCTTTTTCCAATTTGACTCCTTGTCTCTCAAGTTCTTGCTGTTTTATTTCAATATCTATTAATTCTTGTTTGATATCTTCCATAGGCATAGGTTTAATTCGTCTCCTTTGTGGTATTGGACACTGAGGAGCTGGCCCTTTCTTTCGCTTCCATTTTCCATGTGTACTTTTATGTAACCTATACCGTTCTTGATTACTTGTGGCTGATGATGGTTCACTGCCACTATAACTGGAATCTTCCAGGCTATTCGGAGATGACGTTTGCATACTATTTGAATAATCAAGAGATGATCTTGATTTTGGAGGTAATGGTGCTGGTTTTTTCTTTCTAGGAGTGTTTGAATAAGAAGATATACTAGAAGCACTACTTTGTTTACGATGAGTTTGATGACGAGGTTTCAAAATAGGAGATAACATTGTTCTGAAATAAAAACCAATACATATAGTCATATGAGAAAATGGAAAATAACTATTTGAAATCACATTATCATTAGTATTGGGCATTATTAAATACCACAATATTAAAAATAATTATTATAATAAATTGAGTTAATTACATGCATTTAAAATAAGTATTAAAATAAATAAATAAATAAATAAAATACTGGGTACAAACTAGTGATGGGAATAATCAAATGATTTCAGTAATCGAAATGATTAGTAATCGAAATCAAAATAATCAAATAATCAAATGATTCATGACTTAACTGCTTGAACTGGTAGTATAAATGTTCAAACGATTATCTATAAGCGTGCAAGTGAAATGCATTTTCAACCCAAATATTTATACGTATTAAAATAATTAATGTGGCGATTACCGATACCGGGAATTATACCAATGATTAAAAATAAAATAAATAATAATACAATACTGATAAACAGTCAACTTCTTAATTTAATACCCAATAGACAATGAGTAAAACACGCAATTTTTTCGAATAATTCAATTAATTTTCTTTTAATAAATATGTCTGGTACTATTATTTGGATTATTAAAATCATTTGATTATTTTGATAGTCGAAAAATAATAATCGAATCATTCATTCCCATCACTAATACAAACCATAATTAAGATAATAATAATATAAGATGAAATATGGCATTGTGTTTAAATTTTTTGAAAAATTAGAAACTTTTGGTTAATTTATAAAAAATAAATAAAATAGATCATTTAAGTAAAATAGATTTAACTGTTTGATTTTTCTGACAATAATGGATATTAAAATCGACAAATTTAACATGAAATTTTACATTAAAAACAACCAAATAATATTTCACTATAAACACATTAAACAAAAATATATTTATAAACATGATTTATTCAAAATTGAATATACAATTCTCACCTAGGTTTGGGCATAGGAGGAGGTTGAGACAATGTTTCATTCTCATCTTCATCGCTTGAAAATGGATTTAAACTAATATTTTTCTTAGTTTCTTGTTCTACTTCGTCTTCTAAATCTGATTCAAATGGATTTTTACTATGATGTTTGTTTGTAATTTCATCATCATCATCTTCATCGTCAAAAGGATTCAAAATATTAGGATAATTACTTTTTGTTGGAGATTTTATTTTCTTTCTAGGACTAGGAACAGGTACCTTTGTATTACTCTCATAATAATCCATTTTAAGTAGTTTATTTGCAAGAGTTTTAATTTCACAATCTTCTGGAGATTCAACTAGGTCTTCGGAATTTTTAGCTAATGGACATTCTAAGACTTGTTTTAAGTCATCTGATAATGGAATCTGAATATCATTAAGTGGTTCGACAAGGGCAATTTCAATTAATTCTTCATTAAATTTATTTTGATCCTCTGACAGCAATACATGATTAAATTTATTTGATTCGAGTTGATTGTCAGCTACAATCGGGTTATTATTTGATTCAGTAGAAGGAACAATTGTTTTGTCTCCTGACTCTACTAAATTTTCTTCTTTGGGTTCGTCTACAACCACATCTGAAAGTGTTTCGCGACTTCCACTAGCACTCACAGACGTTTTTATTTCACTCGACTCTTTTTTGTCACTGACAATGACACCGCTGTCATTATCATCACTAGTAATTTTTTCTTCGGTTATCGAATCAGTCATTTTAAGTGTGGCTGGTCGCTGCGCTTTTTTCGACACTTTAACGTCGTCTGTACAATCGGCAGCAGCCAATGTTTCGAACAGTGCTCTACGGTTACCAACCAATGATCCGAGTCCGTCTTCGACTGATGGAGATACCATTCGCTCTTCATCTGGACACGTTTCACAGCAGTACTTTCCGTCTTGTGTCTCGTAGTAATTTGCCACACTTAGTAGGGCACCACATCGAGCACACTTAAAACATGTCCGATGGAATAGATGACCAGATATAAGCAGACGTTGGGCTAAAAACACGGACTGATTGCAAACTTTACAACCACCAACGCCTGCACCTAACTGAAACAAACCAAAATAATAAAAAATCATTAACTAAATAACAAAAATATTATATATTACTGTACACCGGTCAATTAAAAAACGTACTGTTAATATTTATTTTATACTCGAAGGAAGTTCTTAATAAAAAAAAAAATATTTATTCATTATTATTTATCAACATTTTAGTTAACTTTATACAACGACTATTAACCTAGATTTGATAAATAATAATTTGCCTTTAAATGTAAAATGGAATACCTATATACAAAAAATGAAGCAAAGAAATATTGAATTTTCAATTATGAGTATTATTTTAAATTTTAACTATTTGAATTATAAATAACTACTTTGAATTAATGGAAAATAAAATCAATTTTGTAATCTGATCCTTATGCATTTAGTGATATAAAAAGTCATATTATGAGTTAAATTACTTGGCTTACCACATGAACTAATTTAAAATAAAATATATTACTAGGAAAACGTTAAAAAAATAATAAATTGAAAGAGATAAGCTCGTAGATAATAATTCTAAATATATAATAGTCACTAATCAAAGATATAAAATATGTATTTAATATTAATAACGATACAAGATATTTAAATACCACAGCAAATATTTAGAAAACAGCAGAAAAAAAGAAAGAACAAGGGTTACAAGGGAATAAAAAATAATTAGTAGTTGCTTCAGAATAATTTTTAAATTTTGTTCACATTCAACATCAAATAAATATTTACTTGAATGAAGTATTCGTGTATTATTATAGAATTAAAATTAAAAATAAATTTACATCAAACACTTTAACTAAAAAAAATATATATATTTCTGGTCAGAATATATTTTCTACAATGGAAAATATAAATCAATTTTAAATCAAATCTAGATTTAAGAATATCTAAAGCGTAAAACCATTTAAACCATTAATTATAATAAATATTATATTATATACAATAGTTAATATATTAACATCATTTTTATATTGACCAATGTTTTCACTAATTTGTTACTATAAATATATTATATACGGATAGCAAAATACATTTGTTCTAAAACTCTAGAAAACAAGTAATACGCCAATCAATAAGTATCAAAAATAATAAAAAATGTAGTACTTTTATTTAATTAATTGTTGTTATTACTGTTATTTTTAAGCTTAATAGTTTTTACTAGAAGTTCTAAAAATAAAAAATAAAAAATTACTAAATTACTTATTACTAAAATACTGAGATACTGTTTACGTTTGCTTTTAATGTTAAAAACATGCACTGCATAAGCAATATTATAATGTACTAAGATTCCTTTACTTGATAAAAATATATAGGTTAGGTTAACATCTGTAATTATCACACAAGTATTAAATATATTTTACAACTCTGTGACATCGACCATTATGAACAAGTAGCTAGTAAACGTATAATAAATGTGATTAAGCCATAAAAACTATATATAATATTATTAGATAAAAAATTAAGAAAACTGTCTCTTCAAATTTATAATAAGAAATAAAATTTATATTCTAAGGAAACAAGTTCTATTTTTTAATATTTTAAAATATTAACGGATTTTAATTTATCGATGTATAATATTAAATTGAACAATTTTTGTGAAGACAGAAGCTACATACGTTACAAATTACGACTTACTTTTGGTTCGTGTTAAAATGATTTTTTCACAATTTTGAATTTAAAAGTAAATAAAATAAAAACTAGTAATATAAAAGTAAAAATATAAGACTAATAATCAAAAATAGTATAAATATTATGTTATGACTGAGTTAAAACAATCAGATACTAAAAGTAATAACCAGGCGTAAATAAAATAAGTGAACAAACGACATGAAAAGCAAAACTAACAAATAATGCCTCGTTAATACTTAATTGGTTTTCATTTTCTTTAATGAAACAAGTCTATAGTAAATAATACAAATAATAATTTACTTTAATCTGAAACAGCTATGTGCGGCGATGAATATAATTAGGCAAATCGGCAAGGTCATAAACTCAACGACGTTTAACGATAAACCGCACAGTACATTTAAAGTGACAATATTTTTTGTAACCACGTAAATAGAATGCGTGTATAATTTTTTACACTCATAAGTTTAAGTATAAAGAAAATAACCTTAAGGACACAAATAATAAACTAACGACACTTGATAAAATTAAATAAGAAATAAATTATAATTTTAATATTCTATCACTATCATTGTGTGCGTTTGACTTTAAGTCAATATTTGTAAACATATGACTTGCAACAAAAAAAAAAAAAAAAAAAAAAAAACGATGACTTTAACCCGTGAGTCATCCACAGTCGGAACTAGGTGTGTAAAATCACCACACCTTGTTTGTCATTCGACTGTTTTTTCTATATGAACTATGCTATTTCAAATAATTGGCATAATGGTAAATGATAATAATACTATCCCATGTATTAGTTGTAACACAAATTTAATTTAGACTATAAGAATATTGCACAGTTTTATAATTTATATAAAGTTCTATTAATAAGTTATATTATACAATTTAAATTATAAAAACTCGAAGGATATTTTATACTATATGTATACTTATTATTTTCTACCATATAAATTAGAAAATTTTCATAAATTTAGTTACCGTAAAACAAAAATGTCAACTGTTAGGCAGCGAACCAACCAGAGTAACATGACGTGTAGCGTAGCAAGTGATGTAGCAAACGAGTAACAACAAAATTACGTATGGTGTAATACAATGCCTATCTATGTATATCTAGTAAATAGTAATACCAGTAGTTAATGTCTTCTTCTTCATCAGGCGACGAGTGTTTTGGCATTAATGAATTTAATCAGTGTTGATAACGTAAATAATAAAAAAAATAATAATAATAAAAACTGTATTGGGCTCATCCATACTGGAAAAAAAAATCAAAAAATTAAATGTTGTTTTTATATGTTATCGCATGCCTACCCTGAGCGATTTCAATCATTTTTTTATAATAAAATAATTGATCGAAATAATATTTATGTAGAAAATATCTAACAAGTGGAATTATAATTAATATAATATGGATTATTATTCATAAATTATTTTTTCCTGGTATTATTAATTACGTATTCGTTACTTTAGTCTGAAATACTCAGGTTATAAATACATAGATTAGCTTAAATGATGCCAACTAAATGCATATTAAAATCTAGATTGTCTTTCATTTTTAAATAATACTTTAAGAAAATTAATAAAATAAATTAAAACACTATAATTTGTCTAGCGTTTGTCACTAGAACAAGCACGTGGCACAAAATAGAACATTCTACATTTGAATGACACCAACGTAACATGACATTTGTCATATCACTGTTGTATCAGTTTAGTAGGCGTTAAATTTATTTACTATATTGTTTTGATACAATGTACCGTGCTACATACTAGATACACGCTACTTGCTACATCATTTGCCACGCCACACGTCACGTTACTTTCGTGGGCGCTGGACCTTACTTTCATTCGTGAACATAATTTATTAAATTTAAATCTAACCAAAATAATTGATTTGCATATATTTGCAAAGCTACTCAATATGAAAAGCAATTATCATTCATCGGCAATCAAAACTAATCAGCTAAATTATATTTAATTTAAAATATTTCTCTGTCAAATTTAAAATGCACTGTATTAACATATATTTAATTATATATATATATATATATATATATATAATTATATTATATTTAAATCAAGCATTTAAGGTAAAATTTAAATACATTACAAAAACAAATAACTTTATAACATTTCTTCTTAAAAAAATAAATATAAGTCAAAATGGTAACTTAACAAAAAAAAAAAAAAACACTAAAAAATTGAATTAAATTGATGGTTGATTTAGCGGGAGTTATGAATAAATCAATAAAAAAAGACAATTATCTATAATACAAAACTATGATTAAAATTTACTCAAGCAATTTACGCATGCAGAATCTACAATAACTTTCACCACACAACCCAAAGCATGTTTATTCAAATAACAATACATCAATATATATTTATATATATATATATATATATATATATATATATATATATAAATAATATTTATAAATATATATATTAATACATGTATGCATGTCGATATTTTACCTTCTAGCAGTAGATCTCAGGCTTATAAGATCCCATAAGATCCAAGCTGTCCTCCTGGACAATAAACAAAAATAATAATTTTTTTGGGTTATGCATAAATCAAAATCAAAAATATAGTACATTTCGACGAAATAAATTGTTTTTATCAATACTCATATTAATACATTCATATTTAATAATAATAATAATAAAATCATTATTTTAATTTATGTTTAATTAAATTTAAATTACAATAAAATTACTATTAAAACCATCCAAATAAAAAAATAAGCTTATGTTGATAACTTATTTTATTTCAATTTTATTAAAAAAAAAAAAAAAATGAAATGATTAAAATATCTCAAAGTTTAGTATTAAATATACAATTTACTCCGCCAAAGAAAAATGTAAAAATACGTAAATACAAAAAATAAATACGAAATTATATCATAATAAAAACCATTTTATCTAACCATGTTAATTAATATTTTTAACAAAATATTCATTTTTATTGAAAAAAAAATTATTTTATCACTTATAACTAGGGCTCGGATTTTAAAGCAAATGCTTCTTTTTTTATATTTGATATAGAACTTTAATTTTTAAATATAAATTCGTTTCACGTCTTTCTGTTTCCAAATAAATAGATTTATTTTTGCTTTTTTGATTTTTTATAATTTTTTCAGTTATTCCAGCTGTGGACATTTTATATGTTTATTATACTATACTAATGAAAACATTTTTATTTAATTAATAACAAATTTGAAAACCTAATATTTTAATTAAATCTTAAATTTATATAAATAATCTAATAAATAAAATATTTCGAAACTAAGAATTTTATAGTCTTCCAAAGTAAATAAATTATATAATTAAAAAATATTCATCATACATTAACTAATTACTAAAAAGTTTGTGGATCAACTTTGAAGTTAATTTTTATATGATATATTAAATTATAACATATTAGTAGGTATGTGATCAAATTATACTACTATTTTTTTCCTTTACTACTAAATAGTAGGCAAAAAGAGTTTATAAAATAATAAAGTACTTAAATTGTTGAAGACATATAAAATAAAAAAGGTATAAAAAAATGTATAATACGAACGTAAGGTAATTTATTGAAACGTAAAACATATTTCAAATAAAAATATGATATTTTTTTAAAAACATTATATTTTTAATTACTTTTATTACAAATTCAACATACTTGTACATAATTTTGAATTATGCAGTCATAAGATTATAGATATTATAGATATTTAATATTAATGATAAAACCAAAAACAAAAACAAATGTATGAACGATGGTATTTTAAGGCGATAAAAAATGATAAATTAAAAAATATCTAAGCTATATTATTATAAGACACAAAACACTGAGAGTATTTGACACATTGTGACATTCAGGAAAATGGTCTGCAGAGCCAAAAATAAAACTTTAATTCTAATAATTTCAAAAGCTAATAATTAATGATTATTTAAAATTTATTGAGTCAAGAAAATAAATTAAAAATATGAGAAAATAAAAAAATGTATTTACCTTTGTTGGAGGAGTTTGGCTAGTTCCTGTATTAGTTCTTGGTCGCTCAACTGCGGTAGGCGATTCTGGTGACGTTTTCACTGGAGTCGTTGCTGTTAAGAAAATTGAATGTATTAATAATGACTAGATAGTAGATATACAAACAGAAAAGTAACCAAAACTGAAAGGCGTTGGCAGAGAAATGAACAGTAGCTTAGCAATAGCTGGTGAGCGGGCATATTAATGAATAGAAAGACGAGTACAAGCCACACTAACAATAAGCCACATAAGTAAATTTTATTATTCTGTGAGCACAACATATCGCAATTGACTGCATCCTGGATTTTCGAATAAAAGATTAGCATTGTAATGAAACAATTTAATTCTAACTCAGTTATTTATACAAAGAAACGAAATATGCAAATATCTGACAGAGATTAAAAAAAAAAACTAAAAATATTCATTTATAAACATTTATATGGAATACGAAAATGAAGTAAGATATAATGAACTACATACAAAAATGTTAATGAATATCTTTGAAACTCAAATTTATGTGAAATGAATCAGTTAATTCCTTTCAAGACTAAAACAAATAAATAATAAGTTGAATTAATTCTATAATATATTGACTACTTTTAATTTATAGTTAGTTAAAAAACCCTTTTTTAAATGAGATATTTATTTTAATTTCAGTTAAAAATGAATAATAAAATAATTAACAGATTTATATATGATAATATATAATAGCGCCATACTAAAATAAAAATTTCTTTTTTATAATTTACATAACGAAGTAAAACAATTATTATTAACATGGACATAAATTACAAAATTTAAAAATAATTACAATTAAAAAATGCTTAAAAATGGAAAAAGTGAACTAAATATTTTCATTGCTTAACTCAAAATATTTTTATAATATTTTCAAACTACATTGAAAATGGGATTAGAATACTAGTATTCTTAATAGTATTCTAATATTAGTTAATATTTTCAAAATGTATTATCTATTATCATAATATGACGATAGTAAAATTGTTAAATTGCGACACCAAAAATAGGACAAAAAATACATAAACATTAACTTTCATCATTACAAAAATCAACAAATGTTTTGTTTGTAATGTAATATTATTACTCTAATTACAATATATAGTAATTATTTAGGAAAAATATTAATTAATATACATTATAAGTATAATTTATACTTTAAAAAATAATTATCTACATACATTTAAAATTAAAAAAAAAAGTATTTTTTTTTATAGGTCATTCAAAAAATAATCAGAAATCGTTAAAGTAGTATTGAAGAAAATATCGGTTGTATTATTAATAAGTATAATTAACTATTTGACTCTTTTGAACTCTATGATCAATTGCGAATTAAATCTACAGACTGGTGGTCAAAAGGTCAAAAACAGAAAAAATGTATATAATAACTCGTACTGAGGGGTCAAATGATAAAAGGACCTAAAGAACCAAATATTGAAGGAAAATATTTTTTATTTTTTACCAAGCAGCATAACTAATTGAAATGTAGTAAAATTCAAATGTTGAAGTCACGATTGGATGTTGTATGAAAACCAGTTTCACTTTGGAAGGACATCGGCTATGTGATAAATGTAACGTTAAAGCCGTACCAGACAATGTTTATTTTTGCAAAATTATTATATATATATACATATATATATATATATATATATATATATAAATAAATACCATAAAGGAAATGTAAAGTTGTAAAATTGCTTGCAAATTGTTTTTCTGAGAATTACAACTTTACATTTCCTTTATGGTATTTATTTTTAGATTATCCGAATTAGATGTTTCGTCAGTCATTGAAATTGAGAAAAAGCGCAAAGGGTAAAATTAAATCACTATCAGTGAAAGTTTTTCATCAGGATCAACGCGGACATGTGACCTTAATAAATTACAAACTGTTGTGAGAACCGGTTTCATGTCTCTCTCTAACACACTCAATGTCTTTCTCTTGATACACGTTGAATTGCCAAACGGCAATGCTAAGTTAACAGCAATGTATTATACGCACAGACCAAATTATAGAAACGTTTCTAACTCCACCTATCAAACTAAGTAACATGAATTTTTAAAAGTTGCGTCTACTAAACCCAGTGGTGAACTGGTGAATATCACGATTAATTACAACATATTTGTATATTTGGTCATTTATCAATCTATATCAACATATCACCAATTAAAATTTATTATGAATTTATATTATTTTACATTTTTTTTTTTTTTTATATCAATATTTAATTTTTATATACAATAATTTATCATATTACAATTTATTGATTGTCCTATCTCCTTTAAGCTATAGTTTGTGTTGGAGATAGGAAATTATTAGAATAGAGTTACATAGAATTGACCAATAAATTAAGTACATATTATTATAACATCAGATTAATATCAATTGAATATTCGAGAAATCAAAATTCTTAAATTCTTAAAACATATTCACAAATATATTTATTTATTAAACATAGAAAGTTTGCATTATATTTAATAATATTCAATTAGTTATATTTTCAAAAATAAAATGAAACATTAAATTCCAATTGTAACTAAAAACACTCCTATAAAAATAAAATATAAAATTAATTTAATTACATAAATACGTAAGAATTTATATATTGCAAGAAATTTAAGGGTTTTCTCAGGTTTATAATTGGTTACATATTTATATACCTCATTGGTGGTCTGTTTTAGGCTTTACTATTCGACCAAGTCGATCACAAGCACCCGATAGAAACAGGTTTCCTGCCACTATTTCCGGCAGACTAAACATATACGTGCGTGCATACACCGCCTTTAAATTACCGTCCTGGTAGAGGAATCTACTTAAAAAATTATCAGGAAAAAATCACATAGTCACGAACTTGATTTTATTTTTTTCTTCTAAGAAAGAACATACTACTCATTGCACATGTCCAGTAGTTAAAAAAATTATAGGCAATTTTTAAAAAGACTATGTAAATACTTTGTATACAATAACAAATCATTGTGAACACAGTACTCGTCGTAGTCATGAATATAAAACGCATACGAATATTAAATATTAATATAATACGGTAAAATCTAATAGTATCATGAAAAATATATCGAAGGAATACCGTTAAACTTGTGTGACTAGTTTCTTAAGAAAAAAATACCATCTTTATAACCACCACGATTAATAAATAGTATAAAAACAAAATAATATTAATACCAAGTTCTAAAAAATTTATTAGTTAATAATTGAAATAATAAAAATATTAGTTTATTATGCAACAATTCCTAATATTATAGTAACATTTTATTGCAAAAAACAAAATTTTATATAATAACTATGGATTATGAACCAAATACAATTAAAATTTAAAAAACAAATAATTATGATAACTTCTTACCTTGTGATGAAAATGTTTGATAGAACTGTGATAAATAAGTTAATATGGATAATCTGTCTGGTATTTCGACACAAACCATGTCTTCCGGGTCTAAAAGTGAAGGAATTCCTAGATGGTTTTCAGCAACTCGAAATGCTAGTTCATTATTGCCATAAACATCATTTTTGTTCAAACTATCATAATCACTGAAATACATATTAAACGATGCAATATCAATATTGAAATATTTATTATAAAATCTAATTATTTTTTAAAAGAACACGAAAAATGCAGTACTGCATCTAAGAATGATATTTCGCTACGGTTTTCTGTAATATGTGAGCTTCGTTTTCTATGTATTGAAAAGTTATTTTGCTTCGGGCAATTTTCTCATCTATTTATTTCAAATATGAACCTCCCTGATGTTTTTGTTACATGAGTGTTTTATTATTGTTATTATTATTATTGTAGTAGTTGTTATTATTTTTTTTAGTTCTTATTTTATAGATGGGAAAAATACTAATTTCATGGGCTTGGAAAATATGCTACAATAACCGAAGCGAATTATCAATTTGAAACATATATTATACGTGATACTGAAATGAAGTGACCTTGACTTCATATAGGTATAAAGATCGTTAAAATATTGGCAGCTACTAGACTAGAAAGAGGTTATTAATCTTTTAAAGATTTTAAATATTTAATTTAAATAGAATAATCTTTGTTTTATACTTGAAAATTTTAAATTTACTATTTTTATTATATTATTATTTGTTTTTATATTATTTTAAATAAAATATACATAGGTACTGTCTCTTATGTATGTGGAAATGATATAATACAACATTACAGTTAATATATACAATTAATTTTCCCCGCCCAAAAATGAATATAAAATACGATTCTAAAAAAAAAAAAAAAACTAGAGTGAAACGCCACAAATTTATGAAAATTAATTTGATGAACTAAAACAATGTTTCTCATTTTAATATATTGTTAATGCATATAAGCATACCTAATAAATAATAATGGATCAGTTTGTTATTATTTATTTATATATAAAAAATAATTATTCCAATAATTTTTAATTCTTATGCTCTGAAAATGTGCTGATTTAATAATTCATTCGCCATTTTATAATTAATGTAACGTCTATACGGTGAATATCGGGAATACATAAAAAAATGTTCGTTTAAGGATATTAGATTACGATTTAATTCTAATATAAAATTTAGAAATGTATGTTTTTATAATATATTACGAATGCTCAATAAGGTTCGATGAATATTCCAATTACATTTATTTAAATAAAATGTATAAAGTATAACGTCATAAATAAATATATAGACATAGATTTAATCAACGATTAAAAATTCGAGTTTACTAAAAATTTACCATTTAAAAAATACAGATGTTTATTGTTCAAATATGATACAAAAAAGTAATAAAATAAAAACAATAATTTAAAATAAACTATACAGGTAAATAACTTTATATTAAAATATAAAATAAAAATTACTTACATCAAATCGGGTCTAAAATGATGAATAAGAGCACAAAACGCAAGTCCATCCTTCCACGAAGTAGACATATTTTCAATAGACACTCCATCATATCCTTGTGTCACTCGCTTACACCACAGTTCTAATGCTTTTGTACCACGTCTTTCACCCATTGTACTTCATAAAAAATAAATATAAAAATATATTAACATTAATTAATTAATTAAAAATGGGTAGCAATGCAACAAATAGTTGTATTTAGTAAATAGCATATAAAAATATTTATAGAATTAGTTGAATGAAAGACTTGATTTGGAAAACTATGAAATTAAGTTACCTCTATGTTAATATGCCTATGAGTAATGAGTATCGATACAAAAAAATTATTGAATTAAGAGATGAAGAATAGAATTACTAAAGGCTTTCTAACGGTCGCGGGATTCTTATGTAACCAAAATATAAGAAATATAAATATTTTTTGTTAATTAATTACTACTTCTATAAATCTAAATACATAAACCATCCCCAGCCTAAAAAATTATGTGATATTTAACCACTGTACATTATTTTACTTGTATGATAGGTCATTAGCAATTTTTAGTTTTATATTCGCAACGGTACCTGATAATTATACTGTGATAATAATAGATCTAAAATGTTTGTTATTTAGCGGTCAATATACACAGATGTGAAATATTAAAGCGACTAGATTATACTGATGTGAATCTTATTTTTTTTTTTTTTTTGACGAACCCATTTGACAACACAATAAAACGCTATTATTACATAACGGATTATTTAATTGGTTCAAAAATATGAATGCACGTATCTTAAAAACCAAGATGGTACGATTTATTTCTATAAATGGGCATAACAAAATATCTAGGTCAAAAAATCTGAACAAAGATGTAAGCAATATTAATAATTTAAGTTTTTTTTTTTGTTCATAAGTTTATTTTATTCAATCTGTAATAAAAGAGAACAATAAGAACAATTGATGGCATATAAAGTTAAATAAATAAAAATAAGGTAGATTAAACAGACTGCAGAAGCCTCCCAGCGGAGGTACTGCGACGATAATTTAAGTAGTAAGACTTAATGAAAAATCCAAGATTAAAAAAATAAATAAAATACATAAAATAGGTATATACATGTAATCTAAATTCTATGTGATCTAGTATTAATAAGAACTAGAATTTATGAATAATAAAACAAATTGTAATTGATTTCTAAAAATATTAAAATTAGATCTTAAACAGAACATGACATTTTTAAAACCCGATATTATCAGTATAATAATAAAGATAACTGGCATACTTTTTATCTAAATCGAATGCCAAGTAATATAATATATTATGTTATATTTTTAAAGGATTAGAGGATGAGAAAGTTGCTAACGACTTTTTTTTATAATTACTATTTGCGCTGAAAGTTAACTCTCTTTATTATATTACGCATCGTATTATACTAGATTATTTCAATTAGTCTTCTATGGTATACATACGAACAAAATAATAAAAAAAGTAGAACATTTTTCAAAATAGTGTACTAGAAAACACATTTTAAAGAATGTATTTCATTTATAAATCCCACTATTATGCTAAGAACTATAATAAAAAAAAAATATTGTAAATCTATTTTGAAAACGTCTAACAAAATTAATTTGAGAAAAAAGATCATAAATTGGCAGATTCCAATTAAAAGTACCATTTTGTGACCATTAATATTAGTTACATTTAAAATGCCTAAATGAAAAAAAAAATGAAGTAAAATATATTACACACGAGAAATCAACTCATTAGAAAGAAACATTTTACACAATATTTTGTTTACATGTATCCAGAATATTTCCTTATCATTGTTTTAGCATCGATTACTTACGATATATTTTATGAGATGAATTTTATCAAACATTGATTAGAAAATTATAATTTGTTATAAATTCTGAAAAAAATAAAGAAAATTCTAAACTCAAAATTGTTAAGTGCTTTTCATGATGTTTTATTTTTTGTATATAACATTTTTGATAAACACTTTAATAAACTTAAGTTCTCATTTTTTCTAGTATTACAATTTATTATAGCATTTAAACGAGCCTTAAAATATATAAATATAACAACATATGGTAAATTATGAACCTCAATTTACCATGTTATATGAGCATAAAAAAAGTTGAACTAATTAAAAAAAACAAGGATGTCTCAAAAATTGAATATTTTCACAAATTAATAACACGGCTACCCCAAGTTACTATAAAAGGATTTAACGGATATCAGAGTACGTCCTTGAATTTCCTTAATATGGACAAATATAAATGAAAATAAAGATGAATAATTAATAATATAATCTTGGTGATTTTCATTCTGGTTTTGTTTGATGACATCTAGATTTCCATCAATTAATCGCAGCTTAATATTAAAAATAAATATATTACTACTGTAATTTTAATAAGCAATGCATATATTATATTAATACATACATATAACTTTTTAATAGCTTATAAATATTTTATAAAATATCTTTTAATTTAAAAATATTATGAAAATAATAATCAATAATATAAAAGTTCTAAAATCCTTTATTGATCTGAAATAATAACTAATGACATTTGATTGATTATTCATAAAATACATTAAGTTAGAGTTTGATTAATCTAATTTATATGCATTTTAAAATATGAATCGAGGAAAATTATAAATTTATTAGTTTTGAACATAATTTTATAATTAATTTTATTATTGTTTGTTTTAAATATAAATGTACTTATATGCTAAATGATTACGTATTTTATAAAATGAAAACAAGTAAAATTTTATAAAATATATAATTATTTAATTTTTGGGTATATATAAATTTAAAAAAAAATAATAGTAAAATTAATTTTAAAATTATGTTAGAACTATTAAATATATAATTGATTCATAATTTAAAATGTGTATAATAATATACAAAATAATTTAAAATTAATACTTGTTTGTTTGAAAGACATGTAAAGTAAAACTATTTTTAGAAGATACATTGAATCATTAAAATAAAATAATAATTTATACTTAAAATTAAATTTTGTATTTTAATTTATTGTTAGACCTTTCTATAAAACGCATTAATATTTAATATTAATAATATTTATAGTTTAAAATTATATTGCATATACATTGAAAGATATTAATAAGAGAGTTCATTGCAAAATATTATTATTCACAATTAATAAGTCATTTGCATGAAATTACTACTGTGACTAGAAAATAACGCGTATGTATCAAGAATATACTATAAGACCGGTTCCAAATCCTTGTATAATAATAAATGACCGATTAACGGTTAAAAAAACGCAACTTTCTAGATGATGAGCAATTACTTCGATTTTGCGTAGCATGTATAGTACTATATTTACTACTGTTTATATATTTTAAATATACTTAACTAGTTTTTGCTATAAACATTTCAATTTTAAGGATTAATTTTATCTTCGAAGTTTTAATGTAGATCTATAAACATTATTTATTTATTTTATTATAGAACAGGCCCAAGTACAGTTAATTAAAGAAACAAAAATTATATCAATAATATGAAATAATATAAAAATGTTATTTAAAAATGTAATGCCTATTTTAATTGGATCATATTTTTATCAACCCTTTGTTGACCATACATAGAATTAAATTTTTTTTTTTTATTTTTTTTTTTTGTATAAAAACATGATGAATAAGTATAAATTTTTCAAAAAGAATTTTAACTCAAAATTGAGTTATGATCTTGCTGCTTAGAAGTAACGTTGGTCAATTCAACATTTTGATTCTGGTACTAAAATGTACATTTAGTACATTCTTTTTTTCCGTACAATCTATAAAAATCAAAAAACTATTTTTACAAAATAAACCTTTAAAATATTTAGCAACATTATGTTTGGGTTATAAATAATACAAATTTATCAAAGTATGTTATACATTTAATATAATAATAAAAAATTGTAATTTTAAACATTTTATTACTCATATTTATTTTTAATAAAATCATATTTAATTTTTCCAGAAGTTTCCATGAATGAAAATAAGAGAAAAAAATCAAAAAAATCTAAGGCTATTCGAATTTATTGGTAAATATAGATAGTAATTACGTAATAAAAAAATCGACATTTTAATAAAGAATTATTTTAAGTTATAACATATTCCAACTTTATGTAAAATACATATTATTTATTAATTATGTTAGAAAACCAACTCGTAATAAGATAATATTTTTATTACAAAAATATAATAATATTATAATATAGTTCCTAAAAAAATTAATTATAATCCTATAATATATCATATTATGCTAACCTTTCAGTAGGTAAACAAATTGTAAAAATACTAAAGTTTTAAAAAAAACGATAAATTATTCTATAAATACAATATATAACATAACAACTAACTTCACAGAAAATTAATTTTCATGTATACAATTGCAATGGTTTCTATTCATAATAGCCAAGAGGTAATGTTTTAATTTATATCTAACGAATATTAATATTCTGTAATGGTAAATTTTACTGAAATCTGGGATTTTTTATGTTATATTATTGTATACTGTATATTCTACTGATGTAAAATGTATGTAACTGAAAAAATTTAATTATTGTCTTTTAAATTCTAAACATGTTATTTATTTTTTGAGTTTTTATACATGAATACTAAGTAGAGAACACCAAATGCATAATAAATCATATAAAGCAAGATTTCTATTGTGATATACGAAAAAATAACATTAAATAATAGGAGAATAGTCAATATCAACGTGAACGACAACTTATTTGTCGGGGGAATGAAACGTGTACAAAAATATAAGTAGATAGACATTAAAAATAAAAATATTGAAAATCAAATAAATTACTCGCAGTGATAATTCGATGGTAAATTTGTAAAATTTAGAATATTATGTTAAATTAATGTATTATAGTTATAAAATATGCATAGATAATGCAATTGTAATATTATACATACCTACTATACTTATAAAATTGTATGAAATCATATACATTTGAATATTCATCAGTGCAAAATAATACATAGTAAAATATACAGAATCCTTAAGTACGAGGAAATATTAATCAAACAATAGATGGTAATATGTATTATTTAAAGTGTTATAACTTTTCATAAGTTATTTTATATTAAGATAACATATAAAATATGTTA